TAAGAGGCTGATCACTTAGAACCCACAGAAGTGCCCTGGACGTAAGAACCTCAGTCTTGATAAGGCCTGATACTCAGTTTTGCATACGAACATCGTGGAGATGTCTGCCGCAGCAGACGCCGTTGTGAAAACACGCTGCTAACACTCACGTTCCTCCATGATGGCCCCTTGTCATGTCGGTCGTTAATAAATCTTAAGGTCCTGTTATCTGGCTAATGCCTCGATGACCTTGGCAGGATTGCAAACCTCACGAGGGTTGTATCAAGCGGCCTACATGCATGATGAGATCAATGTCTGTTCTGCGATTTCACACTTTTCGTGAGGTGATGTATGGCGGAAGGTTTTAAAGTGCACCGGGGAAAGAATGCATGAACGAGTACCTTTTTACAAGTAGACGATGTCTCTAATGGAAGCTGGTGTTCAAGTTATCACTGCTTCATTGCCAGGATAAAGCTTTGTGAAGTTTTATCTAACACGGGGTGTGATATTTCAACCAAACAGGCATTTTCATGATCATAAATCGGCCACTATTGGAATGGTTTGAACTGAACCATTGGTGATAATTTAATCAAGTGGGAATATTTATTGCCCAACTGATAGCTGATTATTTGTTTTCTTCATGCACGTGCCCGTGAAAGTGGTCATATAGCAGGATTGATTATCTCTAAGGTTTGCACTGCCATTTATACGATGGTGTTTTATGTGTATTATTAACTCCAGGAGTAGTTTATATAAGTGACCTTTCGGAAATACGCGTTTTATAAACCGTACAAGCAAACTAACCCTGACAGTTTCCCGTCGGTTCAACGTCTTCAGTCCAAATGTGGAATACTTATGGTTCAGAGTGCCGTTGTAGAAAACAACCATGGGACTATGGCTGTTGTTGGTCTATGTTAAGGTTTGTGAGTTACAGGTGCACAAAGCGATCTTAGCGCTAAGGTGAACTCTCATACCTTGAACAGAAGCTTACAATGGTCAGAGCACTGAGATCGCTTTGAACAACATGAACCAGGATAAGATCTAGTCATAACTATGTCGATCTCTAATTGTTAGTTTGGACCATTTCGATTTTTCGAATGAAAGCAGTGTAAGTCACCACGAGACAATGTCAACATTAAATACCTATTTTACCACATACGTAACATAAATATTTTAGCTCTCTGGTGCCATTTCCAAAAAGACAGCAGATTTCCCCAATGGAACAGTTGTAATATTTCTGAGATGATTAAGGAATAAACATTGAATTGAGAAGGTAAAATCTCAGAATGAAACAACGTATGTACAGAACCAATTTAAACCACCGTCATTTGTCTCTCTTGCAGATCCCTGAAAATATAATCAAATATCGCCGCCGTACCCTTCTTAGCTGTTGCAGCCTACAAGTCCCTCATTCTCAGAGCTGAAATTAGAAGACCGGAGGCCTCCTTTAAGACAAGTGGGTTGCCTTCTAAGAGTGTGGTCCTTTCACCTTTTGCATAACGACAACAGTGATGACTGGAGTTTTCTAAAGGCCAACGATCCCGTTATGTTGAGCAATATTCTTGTAGCGCGCTTTTGGTCTTTGCATGTCACAGTGTTTGAGGGACATCGAGCACACTCCTTCTGAGAGAGTCATACGAGTCTTGTTTGCAAAGAGTGCGATCATGGTTACAATATTCAGCATCTTATTAAAGCTTGCAAAACATACTTTTGTCATATTATGTTGAATATTACACGTCTGTTTACTTCAGGGACAAATACCATAACCCATCACCATACATAAAGTATCTTAATCTTGGCGAACGTGTCAGTTGAAGTTCGATCTCATATGGTCTAAATGTGACATGTCCAGCATGTTCATTAGACGCACATTAAGCCAGGCCCGTGAAGGAAACTCATGACCGGTTGTGAAAATAAGAGCTTGAAGCGTCTAATCAACGACCACCACGCAAACTGACCCGTCTGGTCAACCAGTCACGATAAGACAATTAGGAGAGAGACCATAAGTTCCCCTCGGAGTAGCCACTGATCACCCCGTTACTGACCATGGCGTGATTTAATGAGTCGGGTTTAGCAATGGTCTGCTGCTATTCTTTGTTAGTTAATAGAAGAGGTTTCAGGTTTAGTCGGAATTGTCTTAATCACACGCATATGCAGGTCGCTAATGTCCCATGTGTGAATGTATGAAATTCAAAATGATCTTTGCATGAATATGATACGTCCAACAAGATTTGAAAAGCATAAACTAGTTTAGAAAATACCTGCATGCCTGTCACTGAAACATATCGTACTGTTAGGAGTGAGAGTGAGTTTAGTTTTACGCCGCTTTTAGCAATATTCCAGCAATATTACGGCGGGGGGACAACAGAAATGGGCTTCACACACTGTACCCATGTAGGGAATCGAACCCGGGTATTCAGCATGACGTGCCAACGCTTTAACCACTAGGTTACCCCACCGCCCTGTACTGTTAGCAAACATTCTTAGCATCATCTACTTTGGTTTTTATTTTCAAAGGAAATACAGCTTCCCCGTCAGCTGATTTAAAGTGTATTTCACAAATACTAGTAGAAAACATGTGGTTATTATTCTGGCATGACATTTTCATACGCTATTTCAAATAAGCATTACACATGGCAGTATTTTGACGATAAGATTAAAACGTGAATGCAAGAAAAGTTTAACAGATGACATGTTTATGATGCATCAAGCTACAATCTCTTGGATGGCAAGTAAAAATTTCTTTCATTCCACAGCAGAACTTTGCAGTTGCAGGTTTTTAACAAATCAAGGGTATCTGGTGATCCAATTAAACAAGCAAGCCTTCCATTTCAAACAAAATCATTACAGCCATATTCGATTTCTGATTAATGGCGACGATCTCTAGCAATCGGTTTAATTTGCTGTTGAAATCATGATACCTCAAAGATTGTCAATTGCACCCAAAGGGAAATCTGAAGCGGTATCGATCCCCCAAGGTGTGTGATCCTGTCCATCAGCGCTGAAATTAACTAGCATCGGTTCAACTGTTCAAGAATGAAAATAGCTTGAAGCCAGTAGGTCTAGAAGCAACACACCTCAAAGAAAATTAGTTAAAGTAAGAAGCACGTTCTCTTCCCGTTCAAACATATCCAAGTTGGGTATGTAGACTGTATCTTGTCTACATTTAATCCGATGTAACACCAGCCTGGTATACTAAATAACATTGGTGGATACATTTCATCATGTATTTAGATGAAAACTCGCATACACGGCTACATCGGTTACACATAACTAAATTACACATAAGAGGAGATTAAATGGGTGGAAAAGTTTGATGAAAGATCTCATGATGTGAAATTGAAACATAATACTTAATTGAATAGTAACACGGTCATACATAGGCTGGTTGGAATTTACATTGAATGTAACTGGTAAATCCGCTGCTTTTCAATTCGAATTTCATTAAATTGTTAACATAAACATTTGAGGCCACTGAAATACTCTGACAACTGATCATGGCTGAGTTAATATTAACTACCATATCATATTCCTAGACTCGAGTCGTGATTCTTAAATAAACACTCTGATCACATTTGATTAAACATTGTCTTCTAGACCATTCACAACCTTTCGAAGAAGACGTCAACTGGAAATGTGCTCCATCTTGTCGACATTGTATCTGGTTCAATAACTACAATTTTCAAAAAGGAAAAGAAGAGACAAATGTTATCAGCTCTGTTACCAGAAACATAAAACATCTAAATAATCTGCTTGAGAAGTCAAAAGAGTCATCACCGCTATGGATGCGAGTTATGTAAATAAACGTTCTTCTTAAGGGTTGAACATTATAAAAATCAGCAAAAAACGTTAAAAAACATACAGACGAAGGCCTCTTGAAAGATAGTGCTTGGTTAGAGTCAGCTTGCTTAGATGCCTCAGCAGGGATTAATCCATTCGGGAAGGACTAAATTGGAAGCGAAGGAAGTGAGAAGAATGGAAATGATTTTCCATGAAGAAACAAGGGTGCAAAGTTTAATTTGTTTTTGCCACCTATAGGCAGCACAGCGAGTCCTGTAATAGCGCTGTAATGAGTCTCGGTGGTAGAAGGACGGTCAGCTCAAGACAGCTGGCCCGGGAATCCATTCTGTGATGTCTCCTAGAGACAACAGGATGGCTCTGTTCAAGCAGCGACATTCGTGACGGTTCTTAGATAAAATGGAACAATGGATATCCTAGCAGAAAAAAATGAGATTTAAATGTGTTTGCATGGGGCAGCTAATGCTCAGGTACCGGCGTATAGAAGCAACGTATGCTCAGGTACCGGCCTATACAAGCAACGAATGCTCAGGTACCAGTCTATACAAGCAATGAATGGTCAGGTACCAGTCTATACAAGCAACGAATGCTCAGGTACCAGTCTATACAAGCAACGAATGCTCAGGTACCAGTCTATACAAGCAACGAATGCTCAGGTACCAGTCTATACAAGCAACGAATGCTCAGGTACAAGTCTATTTCAGTTAAAATCATACCAGTAGCGATCTCGTATGCTATACAGCAGATACCTATTCATCTCGACAAGACCATAAGAGGTGATAAGTGTAGGAGAGTCCAGTTGTTGTCTGGGATGAACGCTGGGATCACATCATTAACATCTACCATTTTCCAGGGAGGACTGTGGGAAGGGAGTGACACTAGCGGTGTTGATGGGTTCGGATGCTGGTGGACCGGATGACACATGATGGCCACATTGTATATCCAGTGTAGGTGGTGCTTAGTGCAGGGCAATGGGAAGCGACATAATCCAACAATTCCTAAGTATTCATTCCATATCAGAATACATGTCGTAAATATATAGTTTCATATTCTCATTACATTCATATTGTCAATCAGCAGTGCCAGTTATCAATATGTGTTTCCTGATGTTCTGAAATGAAATCTGCTCTTGAGATTCAATATATTTAGTTTGCCATATACCATCTGTTTGTCATATAGAGGCAGCAATCTTCATATCATTACAAGAAAATAAGGCATCTTACCTCCTCTTCTCCGTATGTAAAGTTTTCATACATTTCCTTGGCTCTCCTTTTCACTTCAGTGGAGAAGATCTTGTACTCGGGGCTTGTTGGTTTACGCAGCGTCACGGTCATCAAGGCCTCGTACGCTATTCTGGCTTTATTGTTTCTTTCTTCGTCGTCACCTTCTTTGTACCACGGACGTTCACTGTCGTTTTTACTGCAAATGATACACATTTTACCATTATCCCTGTTGTATCATAGCGTGTCTGTTTAATGTAGGACGAATGCCTGAAGTCATGCAGGTCGCACACGGTGACCACTTTGATGACACCCATGAGGACGGGTATGGTTCGTACAAACCATGAATATATCAGGTATTTTGCTTGCCATTAATATACGAATTGGACATTATATGTGTCTACATAAAAAGCTAAGTATAAATACAACTTGCTATGACATTTTCCGTTTGTAAACAACTGAACGGAACTCAACCCAACAACCGGAGACATTTTACATACAATCTTGGTTAGTTCGGGCTCAGTACTTTGCTTTCTTATTAACTCCTATGATATCATATTGTGTCTGGCATTGTCTTATTCAGTAGAAGGGAATAGAGGAAGAAGACAAGTACCTGCTGAATAAGTCTATGTTGAAAAAGACGTATTCTCCATTGTCGAAGTTGAGCTCATGAGCTTTGATCATGATTTCCCTTACAGCTTGTGGGGAGGCACAGAGGACCACGACTGTAAAGAAAGAAGAGTTACGTTACCAAATGTTACACTAAACATTTGTATTAAATTTAATTCATACTCACTTCTTCAGTTTAGCCTATGAGTGCAAACAATAATTCCTTGAATTGTTTACATGTATCTCTAATCTTTTATTCTCTCCTAGTGTCTCTTTTGTATATACTTCTTTGTCTTGCGCTTTGAGCATGTTGTACATGCAAAATGGCGCATTACAAGCATGCTATTAGTATCACAAGCATGCTACTATTTGTTTAGTGGCGACACAGTTTGATTAATATTTTATTCTGACAATCAAGTAATTTGACACATGACTTGCTCCAACTCTTATCACACATATCTGTAACACATAATAGAACTGGTTCAAAAGAACAACCTTGTCATATTCCCGTTTCTTTACCTAACATATCCAAATCATTAATTGGATTTCAAACTGATTAAATGATCTCTCAGTGTAACGACACTATGATTATGAAATGCTTTTTCGTGCCTAAACTAATATTGTTTCATAGTCTTTTCCCTGTTTCTGAAATCGAACGTTTACATGCACATGGATGCTCGATGCTTGATATTATATACCACAAAACACGCTTCCTTTTGTCAGAGTTTAATGAACATTCCTGTACATTGTAACCATGTATTGATACATGGTCCCTTGGCTCTTGTCATGTGTCACCGTGATATATTGCTTTTAATTATGTTTTTTTAAAAATGAAATTGGAAACAAAATACACGAGGAGTTATTGACATTCGCACGACAGTTAGCGCCGTGGCGAACGTTGTAATTGTATCACTTGGCATCGAAAAGACCAATACAGATGATACCCTATACACTTCCAATGTTACAACTTTCCCTGATTAATCATATCAACGAGTCTCAATTATTCATGGTCTATCGGGATAAAATGCAACAGCAGATTAGGTTGGTGCCTTCATACATAAATGCTTCCTTGTACAATTCGATGCAGTGTACAATTCGTTTAAAAAGATAACAAATCCACGGACAATAGTGCAAAACTGCAATGTTTAACATATTAATATACTCTGCAAAAAAAGAAACGCACAGGTGAAAACTCAGGAATGTAAACACTTTATTTTGTTTCCAAATAAAACTTTAACTAATGATCGCACGAACGTAAAATTTCACATGGATGTTGTCAAGAGTCAGCTTTACAACATGCAGCTATCATTTTGTCTCTGAAACCATTGCACCGGGCGTACAGATGGCGTGGAGGTCAGTACCTGTTGTGACCACCTCGAGCTTGCAACACAGCTTGGCACCTCCTGTCCATGGACATGATCAGTCTTTGAATCCGTGCTTGGGGGATCCTCCTCCATTCCTCCTGCAAGGCTTGAGACAGTTGTTGCAACGTTTGGGGTTGAGGCTGACGACGTCGAACGCGTTTCCCAAGCTGGTCCCACAAATGCTCTATTGGGTTCAAATCGGGGGATTTTGAAGGCCAGGGAAGAACTGTGATGTTCTGATTCGTCAGGTAGTCCATCGTGATGCGAGCCACGTGCGGTCTGGCGTTGTCCTGTTGGAAAACGTGACGTTGAGGGTTGATGACAGGTAAAAGATGACGTTGCAGAATTTCATCCCTGTAACGAATTGCAGTCAGGTTACCACGGACGTGCACCAAGTCACTTCTCCCGTTGTAAGAAATGTCCCCCCATACCATCACACTTCCCCCTCCAAATCTGTCCGCTTCAACTACACAATTACGGGCGTAACGTTCGTTTCTCCGTCTATAGACCCTCGTCCTACCATCGTGTCTTTGAAGTTGGAAACGAGATTCGTCGCTGAACCAAATTCGCTGCCAATGTCTCCAATTCCATCTCTGGACGTTCCTGCACCATCGAACACGTGCCAGGCGATGATGAGGTCGTAGTGTGCATCCTACGTGAGGTCGTCGAGGGCGTATCCCGTGCTGTCTGAGGCGATTTCTGATGGTCTGGGCGGAGACGCGGCGAAGACCTGGGACGTTCTCTGCTGTTTGTGTTGCTGGGACGGCCCGGTTACGTAAATGGAACACCCGGATGTAGCGGTCATGTGCAGCATTGGTTACCCGTGGTCTACCACTCCGAGGTCGGTCGCGGGTCGAGCCCAGTTGATTGTAGCGCCTCCATAAACGGGAAATTGTTGTGTGATGCACGTTGAAGTGTCTTGCAACTGATGACTGAGATTCGCCAGCCTCAAGACGTCCGATGGCGATGTTCCGGTCAGCTTCGCTAAGTCGTGGCATGTTGAATTCGTCAGTAAACTGGCGTTGAAAGTGAATTGAACACGTTAAACTGCCTTCCTCATATACCCTACACACTGGTGCATAGGTGAAGCAACTTTCACGTGCATATCGTTCGAAGTGTCATTTACACGTGAAAATTTCATGATATTTTCAAAAACCATCATCAAACAACAATATTTCATGAAATGGTGTGTTTGAGCGATACTTAATGGATATGAACAAGTATACATTATGTTTGGTTAAAGTAACCGGGTTTTGTTTGCATAGAAATAAAATAAAGTTAATTTTAAATTTCATTATCACCTGTGCGTTTCTTTTTTTGCAGAGTATATATCCGTGTTATACATAATGATCATGGCCGAGCGTGTCATTGTCCAGCGCTATAGGTGGAATCCAGGTCATTCCTCACTGAGCATTTAACACCGTACATCGTTATTGTTAAACTAGAGGCGAGCTACAAGTCAACTGGAAAATATCTACCGTCATTTTAGTCTGTGAAATTACTATAAATACAAATAATATACATTTTCAATTATCGTAAAAGGTCAGTGTTCACCCAATCGCAAAATCGGTCCTTTGACTTGATAATGACTTCCGTCGACCCAAAATACCAGTTTGTCTTCAGCCTATCTGGGAAGGGTCGCGCGATATGGGTAATCTTTAAGATATCTGATATTTGTAATTTGAAATGATTAGGCACAGAGTCTGGAAAAGGTCAAAGCGTTTATAAAAGCTTGATTTAACCTTATTTCTTCCTCTTTTTTTTCACACAGATATCATGCTGCACATTTGTCTATTTGAGTTGGTGCTCAGGACTAAACGATTTTAATGTTTCCAATGTACAAAGCCTCATATCAAATCTGTCCAGTATCTTTAGCAATATTACGTAATGCGTTGTTGTAATCCCCATACACGTCAATACTAAATTGACAAGACATTTTCAATTTAAACACATTAAAATATCCTTCTGAAATTCATGACAATTACATAATGGTAAACGTAATAATGACTCCTCAAGCAATAGAGCCGACTCCATATTTGACTTAAACCAGTATCCAAGGCGTCGTTTAAAGACACTGGCTTAAAGTACATTACGAGAGACTGAGTGTGGTTTTACGACGCTGTGAACAGTATGTCAGTCAGCTGAACACGGGGATAAAACCTGAAGTGAAGAAGGAAGTCTTAGACAAAGTTCGAAGCTAAGTTCATAGAGTTCTGGATAACTCTGGACTACTTTGGTACTTGTAACCAACCTTAAAACAACATGTATTCACAAAACACCAATTACATATTTAATACCAAATTCATGGCAATTAGAAAACAGAGCAGTGAAACTATTCTACACATCTAAGTTACTGGAACAGTCGAACAATTCAATGAAGCAACAACCATTCATAATCTCATAAAGGTAGTAAGTTTCATTGTCATCTTCTTTTTATGTAACACATTATGTCTTCGTTACTTGTTTGGCACTTCTATGAGTATATATCGTCCATGGCCATTTAGAATAGGTGTCCCAACATAACAGCTGAAAGGTATACTGTCCACTATTGAAATAATAATGTAGCAAGCTTACGAAAACGATCAGCACCGAATCTGCTATTCAGCGGAAGGTGACAGTGTCTAATTTATTGCCCTCGAGGGGTTCCTTCGTGCGCTCAGCAATGAATGCCACAATATACTGAAAGGGCATGTTGGGGTAATCTAGAGCATGTGAAATTAGTCTGGGGGGCCTGTTAAAAATAACCTACATCGCGTCTCTGCTACTTTGGATCCAATGAAGTTGGAGATGATTAGCGGCAATCTCTTACATACAGAGCGCTGAATGAGGCTCATGTCTAAAGGATGTATTGTTGTTCGGTATCGTCCAACATAAACTAAAATGTACGGTGTTATATAGTAATACATACTATCTGCTACGGGTATTAGCCCAACTGGCTTGAAGTGCCTACTAGTGTTGTTTCCAACCTCTTCAGTAGGGATGGAAACCTTATCAAGCAGGGTTCTGTGTTTGGGGGTCAAATGCACAACAATGATACACAATTCTAACAGTCGAGTTAGGTGTTGCTGCCACCGAAATCATACCTTTACTTCAGTAACCGCCTTACTTTACCTCACTTTAACATAAGATGCGTAGTATTGACTTGCATCAAATTCATTTATAACAATTTCTTTAATATGCAATGTTGCATAAAGTATATTCAACAGGTATATATTCACAACGGTAGAAACGTCATTTTCAACATACGAGACACCAAGCATATAGAGCAATATTAAAAGCATTAATGCTATTTTCTATATCGGCAACAGTTACTGCTGGTAATTGGAGTGTTGGCTCGGATGTTTATCGTTTTAATTTACCATTTCTTTGTATGTCTGCAACGATTTCTGTTGGCAACATTCTACAAATACCAGATATAATGGCCTCACGAAATACGTTGTTGTTTTGTTTCAGATAATTTCTTTTTCAAATAACGTTGTTGACTCAAACAGAATGCGATAAACGATTTTCTTAATGTTCATACCGCCGAGGGTTCCAAGACCGAAATAAACCCAGAAAGCAATAATTGTCGGTCGTACAGGTAACTATTAAAAGCATCGGTAGAATTTGTCAATATGAAGCCATATTTGATGTACACTGTGCCATCAGGACTTACTGACTTTGGTATAAGTCAATAGAAGGTGTGATTAATCAGGAAACGAGACTTTACTCAATAACGTGTATTCAAAACATGAAAGATAATTGTTAAGGTC